ACATACATACATACATACATACATACATACATACATACATACATACATACATACATACATACATACATACATACATACATACATACATACATACATACATACATACATACATACATACATACATACATACATACATACATACATACATACATACATACATACATACATACATACATACATACATACATACATACATACATACATACATACATACATACATACATAATATGGATACTTTCATAGATACATATACAACAGCTTGGAAATTTTTTACGAGTTTTGAATTTTGCATTGTGTCCATGTGTAGGTTTTTGTTTGTTTGTGTTTGTACGTGTGTGTATGTGTGTATATTTGTTGGTGTATATGTTTTTGTGAGTGTGAGTGTACGTTTGTATATATGTCTGTATCTTTGTGTATATGTTTGCATGCGTGTTCGCAGGTTTAAATTATGGTTTGCTACGTTGTTGTATCATGTGAAATTGCTCGTTTCGAGGAATAAATAATTGGGAAAGATAGATGGAGAGAGAAAGAAAAAAAGAGAGAAGAAGAGAGAGAGAAAGATTGAAACAGAGAAAGCAAAAAAAAGAGAGAGAGAGAGAAAGAAGGAGAAGTAGAGAGGGATGTGTCAAATCTAAGAAGAGAAATGTTGGAATGAAGGGGACATCTTAAAATGTAGCATGCATTAAGTGCATGGAATGATAATGCAGATGACGTATGTGATGACGTATCAGATGATGGATATTATTATTATTATTATTATTATTACTAATGTTATTATTATTATTATAATTATTATTATAATTATAATTATTATTATTATTATTCTATCATTTTATTGACTGAATATATAATAATTTTTGGCGAAAGAGTACCAACATTCAAGAAGATTTTAATGTCTTAAACGATTTTATTCCAATAACAATAAAATAATAAAAAAAAGAAGAGAAAGAATAAAAAGAAGAAGAAAACGAAGAAGAAAAAAAAGGAAGAAGAAGAAGGAGAAGAAGAAGAAGGAAAAGGAGGAGAAGAAGAAGAAGAAGAAAAAAGAAGAAGAAGGAGAAGAAGATTAAAAAAAACAAAAAAAAAAAATGAGCGGAAAAAACGGAAAAATAATTTTTTCTCCATCTTTTCTCGACAGGCCGCGCTGTACAGATGGGTAAATATGCTTTTGAACGTGCGGAGATTGAGTGAGCGAGCCATATTATTGATCGAAAATATGATATCTTTCAGTTTCTCTCTCTCTCTCTCTCTCTCTCTCTCTCTCTCTCTCTCTCTCTCTCTCTCTTTCTTTCTCTCACTTATCTTCTATGTATTATTTATTTTATCTTTCTTTTACATTTTTGAGTCAATTTTTAATTTATTCTCCATTCAAGAAATGGTTCTTACCCTTTATAAATCGTCAGGTGTTTGTTTGCTGCGCTATTTGTTCCATGTTGCCATTTATAGCAATTTGTCATCTGTGTTAACTTTTTCAAACATTTTCGGTCTGACGTTTTGTTATTTTTACAATTTTTTATAACTTTTGAACGATTATTCTCTAACTTTTAAATCTCCCTCACACTCAAACAAATGCAATGGTGCTTTTTACTGCCTCCCTCCGTTTCAACCACCACTAATGCGTCTTCATATATTTCGGGTGTTTTTCAACGATTTTTTGTCTATTTTCTTTCTTAGAAAAACAAAATTTTGCTTCTGTTGTTATTATTATTATTATTATTGTTATTGTTATTATAATCATTATTATTATCATTATTATTATTATTGTTATTTTTCTCCTCGCTTCTATTTCATTATCTACCTTGTCAGTTACTTCAAATTTTTCTGAATGAAAGATTATTATTATTATTATTGTTGAAATTGTTATTATTATTATTATTATTATTTCCATTGCTTTCATTTCAACATTATTTTTTTTCTACGTGCAAATTTAATGAAGAACGAATGACTGGATGGACATATGAATGAACGAGCGAATATACAAATGAGTGAATGAATGAATGAATGAGTAAACGAATAAATGAATAAATAAAAGAGTGATTGAATAAAAGCGAGGCAAGTATAAAAATACTTATTCTCTGAATACGATGCACTTCAATCCTTACAAATGTAATATTTTTTTTTTATTTGTCATCATCTCTTTGTCTCATCTTGAAAACATTTAAACTTTAATAGTCATAGTAGTAGCAGCAGTAGTTTTAGCAGTAGCATCAGCAGTAGTAATGGTAGTAATAAAGTAGCAGTAGTAGTAGTAGCGGCAGCAGCAGCAGTTTTAAAATTAGAGTTTTTTTTCTACATATACCAGTAGTGTAGTTTTTGTAATAGCTGATGTTGTTGTTGTTGTTTTTGTTGTTGTTGTTGTTATTTATAAATATTATTTTTCGTCATCATTCGGCAATCGGCTATCCATTTTAATTAAATTCTGCCTTCTCCCACATAAAAGATTCATCTCGCTCGTATTTTTTCCATTTTTTTCGTTCTTCATCTTTTTTTTGAATTTTATTTCAGAATTTTTAAAAAATATAAATCACTGTTACTGTTGTTGTTGATGATGATGTTTATGATGTTGTCATTGATGTTTATGATGTTGTCATTGTTGATGTTGTTGATGTTGTTGTTGATGTTGTCGTTGTTGATGTTGTTGTGTACGTGTGTATGTACGTCTATGTATGAAAGAAAGAGAGATGGAACTAAAAGGTTTTGAAAGAGAGAAAAAGAGCAGAAAAAGAAAAAAAGAGAGAGAGAAAAAAAAGAGAGAGCTAAAATCTCGAGCAAAGACATACAAATTGCATCTTTTTGAAATTTAAAAAAATAACAGAAATTTCCGCCAATCATGAAACCCTTAAAATGCCCGCCAACTCATCAGCCAATAGCGACAGTTTTTGACAGTTACGTCATCGGCGGATTAGCAATGCGGTCGTCGGAAGAGAAAAACTTTTAAATTTATTTTTATTGTTTTTTTTCTTCTGTTGTTGTTGTAGTTGTTTATATCGTTATTTTCGTCTATTGGGATATTTTGTAAATGTTGTTGTTCTCTTCGATTATTATTATTCATATTGTCCATATCTGCGATGACGTCATCATTACCAGCATCATCATCATCATAACTGCAGCATCGTCATCGGCGTTATCATCATGTAAAGTTTATGCCCGAACATAAAAAGAAAAGCATTCATGTGTATGACTGCATATGAGCAATTGAATGTTTGTATGTTCGTTTGTGTGTGTGTGTGTGTGTGTGTGATTGTTTGTATGCGTTTGTATGTTTGTGTATGTTTGTATGTATGTTTGTGAACGTTTGTATGTACTCGCATGTTTGTACGTTCATACATGCGCAGGTATGTGCAAATGTATGTTTGACTAAGTATGAAAGTGTGTGCACCTAGGTAAGTATGTGTGCG